GGATAGCAATCTAGCTACAAACTACGATAATACTGTTTAACTCCAATCCCTGTGGATACGATATTATACTATACTATCTTTGACTAGCGAGCACAATTTAAGTGTGTGTTTTGTGCTCGTCAGTAGATTGATAGATAAAGATACCGTCTGCTAAATGTTCAATTTGCAGACCAAGACAATGTTTTGTCTTTCCAATATCTTTCATCTCAAATTCTTTCTTAAGATATTCAATTGCCTTTTGGAGCTCTTCTAGAGTTCCAACATGATTTATGTCATCAACATAAACAGCAAGTATAACAAATTCTGATGCTATTTTCTTTATAAAAATACATGGACAAATAACATCATTTATGTAACCCTCTTTCAGCAAATATTCACTAAGGCGATTATACCACATGCGCCCAAATTACTTTAAACAGTACAAAGATCTTTGTAATCTGATTGAAAATATTTTTCGAGATTTTGAATTTGCTTCAGGCATTTTAAATCCTTCAGGGATTTTCATATAAATTTTATTATCAAGTGAACCGTACAGATAACATGTAACTACATCCATTAGATGTATTTTAAACTTTTCATGTAGTGCTAAACTGATAAGATATCGAAATGTTATGGCATCCATAACAGGTGAATATGTTTCATCAAAATCGACTCTAGGTCGTTGTGAGAATCCTTGTGCGACAAGGCGAGCTTTGTATCTTTCAATTTTATTTTTATCATTCTTTTTTCGCATAAAAACCTATTAATGACCAACTAGTTTTATACCAGCAGGTGTTTGGACTACTGGTCCAAAGACCTCTCTTTTAGCAAATGCGTTCAATTCTGATTGAATTGCCTCTTGCCATTTTGGCCAATCAGATCTTTATCGACATTCTTCGATAGATCGGGGTTCAAGATCCTCACTATCTTGCATAATGTTAAGTGCAACATTATATGTAAAAATATTATCCACTATTATTTCAGATCGATTTAAATTAATCCCTTCACCAGTAGAACTATTTAAAAGCTTCTCACTCATTTGAGTCTCGGGTTCATTGATTTCTTCAGGAATCTCAGAACTAATAGATCTTGGGTCTCTTCAGAAGATCTCTTCACAGTATCGTTTTGATCATTTATCGATTTTCTTTTTTGAGGGTTTCGATCCTTAGAACCCAAAGGCCTACCACGCTTCAGGTGTGCTTTAGGTTCACTAGCTCTCATGCTAGTAGATGGTCATGCAGGGAGATCAATTCATATAGGCACATTCTCTGCAGGGATATGTGACTTAGATATCCTTTTCAAATCAGTAAACGCGTCTGGCATTTGATTTGTTATATTTTATAAATGGATGATCTTCAGGACCTCCTAATTACATATAGGGGTACGTGGATCAAAATGAGATAATGATGAAACTTTTCACACAATTTCTCTTTTGATTTCCTTTTTCTCTCCCCCTAATTGTGGGAAATTTATTTCATCAAACCGACAATCTGCAAATCGAGCAGTAAATAAATCTCCCGTCAACGGTTCAAGATAGTGAATAATAGAGGGTGATTCAAACCCAACATATATTCCTAACCTTCTCTGTGGGCCCATCGTACTGCGCTGTGGTGGTGCTATTGGCACATATACAACACATTCAAAAATTTGTAGATGGACAATATTTGGTTCATGACCAAAAATTAATTATGACGGAGAATATTTATTATAATGTGTCAGTCTGAAATGGATAAGTGATGTTGTATACAAGATAGCATGGCCCCAAACAGTAGTGGGTAATTTTATTTTCATAAGTAGTGGTCTTGCTATCAATTACAAGCGTTCAATAAATGACTTTGCAAGGCCATTTTGGGAATGAACATAAGCTACAGGATGTTTAACTTTTATCCCAACTGATAGACAATAATCATCAAAAGCTTGAGATGAGAATTCTCCAGCATTATCAAGGCGAATAGCCTTTATAGGATAATCTGGGAATTGTGCCCTTAATCGAATTATTTGGGCTAATAGCTTTGCAAACGCCAGGTTGCGAGATGATAGTAGGCACACATGAGACCATCTTGAAGATGAATCTATTAGGACCATAAAATATCTAAACAACCCACTTGATGGGTGAGTAGGTCCACATATATCCCCATGTATACGTTCTAAAAAGGCAGGGGATTCAATGCCAACCTTCATTGGTGATGTTCTAGTGATCATTTTGCCTTGATAACAAGCATCACAAGAAAATTCATTATTTGTAAGAATCTTCAGGTTCTTTAATGGATGCCCACTCGAATTTTCAATAATTCGTCTCATCATTATTGATCCAGGATGTCCCCAAACGGACATACCAAAGCACAAAAATATTTGAATCAGTAAACTTCTGGTTTACGATAGAGTGTGCTTCAACTGTACTAATCTTTGAATAGTATAAGCCAGAAGATAAAGTTGATAACTTTTCTACAATGCACTTCTGGCCAGAAATATTCTTTGTAATATAAAGATATTCCATATTTATTTTATCTATCGTCTCAACATGATACCCATTTCGGCGGATATCTATAAAACTCATCAAGTTTCTTCGGGACTTGAAGGAGAATAATGCATTATCTATTATAAGTTTTGTTCCCTTAGACAGAAATATAGTGGCTCTTCCGGAGCCTTCAATCAAACTTATATTACCAGAAATTGTTGAAACATTTATTTTTTCCTTATACAAATAGAAAAGTATTTCTGATCTTTGAATATGGCATGTGTTGTTCTACTATCAATTACACAAATATCTTCATGATTGGTCTTTGATCCAAACATAATTTGAGGATTATCCATATTCTTCAAAATGATATAAACAAAATAAATATGATAGTAAATATCATTATCAAAGCATAACTTTTATTTATGTACAACAATTACATAACCATACTATCTATTACAAACAACAAAAATTAAAATATTTACATTTTTACAGATTCATCACCGATTACATGAGTTGTTTCTCCTTCCGGGAGTGCAAAGTAATCAGCTACATCCAAATGCATGAAGTCTAAATTATCTTCAGAAATAAAATTTGCTTCAGCATTTTTCTCTGTCTTCTTCAGGGAGGCTTGATAAAGTTCAACCAGGTGCTATGGCGTACGACAGGTACGTGACCAGTGCCCTTTTCCTCCACATCTATAACATGTATTTTTTGCCCTTGTTGCTCGCACCGCTTCATACTTTTGTTCCTTCCTTTTCCACTGCTGGTGGTGAGGAGGGCTCTTTGATGCATTATTATTACCATGATTAGAGTTTATTCCCCGACCACGACCATGACCACGACTCCTTCCACGCTCAGCTTGGTGGAAGTTCATCTCATTCACTTCAGGGAATGGACAAGAACCAGTAAGTCGGCTTTCATGATTTTTTATTAATATCCCATTATATTGCTCGTCTACAAGAAGATGTGAGATAAGTTCAGAATACGTTTTGAATCTCATCTCTCGATATTGCTGCTGCAGGAGCATATTCGAGACATGAAAAGTGGTGAAAGTTTTCTCCAACATATCATGATCAGTAATATTATCACCACATAATTTCAATCGAAAAATAATTCTGAACATAGCAGAATTATACTCACTTGTAGATTTAAGATCTTGTAGCCTTAGATGAGTCCAATCATAGCGTGCCTGTGGAAGAACGACCATCTTCAGATGATCATATCTATCTTTCAGTTTATTCCACAGTATGACTGATCTTTAATAGTGAAATATTTCATTTTCAAGCCTTCATCAAGGTGATGGCGTAGGAATATCATTGCTTTGGCACGGTCTTGGTTTGATGCTTGATTTTTGTCCTTGATGGTGTCTGCCAGACCCATCGCATCAAGATGAATTTCAGCATCAAGCACCCAAGACATGTAGCTTTTGCCCGATATATCCAGGGCTACAAATTCAAGTTTAGAAAGATTTGACATTATTTAGGAAAAGAAANTGTCTGCCAGACCCATCGCATCAAGATGAATTTCAGCATCAAGCACCCAAGACATGTAGCTTTTGCCCGATATATCCAGGGCTACAAATTCAAGTTTAGAAAGATTTGACATTATTTAGAAAAAGAAAGTTCGTACCTCTGATACTTTCAAAGTATTTGCTCGAGATGGCAGATTCTTGTGCTGATAACGTGTTATAAAATAAAGACTGTAAAGTAAAGACAAGTATAAAGAGAAACTGATATATTATTCAATTTCAAACTGATGTACATAATGAACTGAAATCTCCTCTATTTATAGAAGAAAGGAAGTTGTTGTGTAAGATGCTTGTAAGCTGCTGTGTAAGCTGCTACGCCAAGCTGCTTGTAAGCTGATATTGTGCCAGATATAGATAATCTTCTACCGGGGGTAATATTTATCCATAACGGAGTACCGAAAGGATAAGCTCATTGTACCAGATATAAATAATCTTCTACCGGTGGTAATATTTATCCATAATAAAGTACCAAAAGGATAAGCTTCTTCAGGGGGCTTATTTCTAATAGAGTACTAAATAGATAAATATATTTACGGCGAAGTCTCATATGGATAAGCTTTTTCAGGAAGTTGATTTACAACGGAGTACTAAATGAACATCCGTAATATAATATATTTAAAACAATATTTTTTGTTTCTAATGCCTATGTGATTGTATAATTTCTTTGCTTGGCATTATTTTTCTCAAATGTATAAAATATTAGCTCGAAACAATTAGGTATCATTACACAAATAGCCGGCATATTAATTGTTTATTTTTTTTAGCCATATACATAAATTATACATTGATTATACACATACAATACATTAATTATGCATATATTATACATTCAACATCTAATATTTCAAAAACTTATTGGGTTGTTTGAATAAAAGAAAACGCATTTCCACTTTCCATATCCTTCGAGAAGCGGAACTTCAGAAATGTTCCTTTTTCTGTAACTACTTTGGAATAAAGAAAGAATAAGAAAATAAACCTGGATTTATTGCAAAAGCGAAGAAACTTGCAATAAAAGATGGAAAAAGAAAGAACTAGGAAATAAATCCCTTTAAATAAAATCTTTTATTACCACCAAAAAAAAGAGAAAATAAATCCCATTCTGCAACTACTTTGGTATTTTCCTAAATGAAAGCTACTTACTATAATTCTTAAGCACCAGACTTGTATAAAAACAGGTGACCCTAAGGCCACCTTAAGGTTTTGCATAACAGACTTGGTTTTGCATCAATCTTGCTCCTTCTCATATTCTTTGAGCTCTTAGTTTCTTTGCTTATGGTTTTTTTTTGCAGCAGCCATTGTTTGTTGCTCGTGCTATTGGTCCAGTCTTGTCTCCTTGTTCCGTCTTTCTCCTTGGCGAAGGAAGATGGTCCCGCGGGGATAGCGACTCTTCATCATCAGCTCCTGATCAAATTGCTGCAACCCTCAGTTTGCCTTCTCCACAACAAGGCACTGAGTACTTCGAGTCTGGACTGAGTTTTGCAATTCCTTGCGCAACAATCATGCCCTTTTTCTTCCTAAAGAATGCCATCCCACCACCACCTCAGTCTCATGACCTATCACCGATTGTCACCTTTATGAAGTTCTTCTATAAAGACTGTACCTTTTTTCAATGACTGTGGCAGAAACAAGGTTCTTCAAAAGCACTTATCTTTATGGATCAACTCGGCATCAATGACTACAAGCATGCATTCTTACATGGAAAATCTATATGTGAAATGTCTCATCTTGTGCCTGAAGTGGTGGAGACTATTAAAAGTTCAGTTGAAAAGCTCATCAATGAACCTGGAGTAAAACAATTATGGTCTCTGAAATTCTTCGTGTGGGCTGCTTTCCTGGTTTTTGGACTCTGTGAGGGTGATCCAATTCGCAAAAACAGAATATGCCACAGGGGACTGAATATGTTCTCGAAGCTTCACAATAATCACCTTTATTCAGGAGCTGCGATTAAAATACCCTGAAGTCCATATCATATATGCAGATTACTACAAAGCATTCACAGCTATTCTAAAAATCCATGGGCTTTCTGGGATTCAAAATGAAAACTTTGATGAAGGCATGTTGTGGCTACGGCGACAGTCCATTCAAATTTGATATGCAGAAACAGTGTGGAGCACAAAGAGTTGTTGCATGTTCTGGTAGGGCTTCGTATCTTCATTCGGATGGATTTCAACTGACTCTTGAGGCGTTGGAGAACCTGATGCATACGCTCTTCAATAAGAAATGATTTATAGTCCCAAAATTCAAGTTTGGAGAAGAAACAATAGCAGCAGTAACAAGGGATCATTCCAAGATTCATTCACGAGTTAGAGATAAGTCTTCTGTTGTTAGGCATTTACTCCTCGCCAAAGCCAGTTCTCTGTATGCAATACAATAGCATTGGATATTTTTCTAATCTGTTTAATTTGAAGGCTCGGTTCTCATTGCTTCATATGTAAAGGGGAATGCGCTCTTAGCTTATGTAACAACTAGCAATTCATTTCACTCATACTCAATAAAAGTATCCCGATTTAATTCAAATATTTTTCCAAGGTTTATTTATATATTTGTTATCTAGTTTATTTTGCTGTTGCCTTTCAACCTCTATCTCTAAGCGTGAGATTAAAAAAAAGGTGTAACTATTTGTAAGAAGCTTAGCAATAGAAATAAGGATCTTGCCATCAATTAACTTCATATTATATACTTAGATGAGTAAGATTCCTTTTCTTTTGTGAAAAGACTTGGGCACCATGGGGTTGTGACTTATCATCTATGATTTGATGCTAGAGAACTAAAGCAACTTTTTTGCCCAATTAACCTTTTGGCCTAGTTGAAGGATCAAACATAAGCAGACCAGTTGTGAGTCTGGTTTACCTTTTGGTATCCGCTGTTTGTATATAAAAATTCAGTTAACAGCAATTCAGGCTCTACCCCAATTCACTTCACTTGATAAAAAAAGAATTTAAGAATTAGGAGAAACACAGTTAATTCACCTTTCTATCAGATTGAATCACTAGGGATGGAGTTGGGGATTATGGGGGAAGGTAAATAGAACCTAATCCATTTTGTTTGACCTTAAAATAACATATGCCGCATGATATTAGCCATCTAGACATTTTGATGTTAACACATATACAATAGAACAACAAACACAAGATGTGCAAGGATAAAGAATTCCTACTGCATCACAAATGCTCTAGGAGATGTTAATTATGCTATTCGGATGCAGAAAACTCGTGTACATGTGGTACCCATTTTCGACAGAAAGAACTAGTAGCTTGCCAATGGGTTGCAACGAAGAGACAATCAATTTTGTAAGTTCATAATTCAGTTCATTAGGTACCATTGTCTTGTCATTTTGCAGTCTATCTGTTGAACCACCTTTCACTATCTTCTGGGAATCAGGAATAGATCCCACGAACTGCATAATTATTTATATGCTGCCACATTACTAGGAGAGACATCATTTTTGAAAAGTCAAGGAACTTAAATACAGAGGACTTCAGAAAACAATCATATCTCAATCTTTCATACAACGTAGGTCAGCAATTCCACTTATAAAAAAAGGAAGTAAAGCAGTTTACAAAGCACCCAAAGATCAACAAACATTAACAAACAACGCAGTACCTTGTCTCACCATCCTTCACATATCTGTAGGTGCTATGATAACAATTAGGCATACGAAAGAACCATGTGTTATTCAAACAACCCCAGGACCTTCATTGGAGTCCCTTTTAGGAAGGCTCCTCCTTCAATGTCCTCGCTTAAAGGAAACACGCCATTCTTAAAGAAATAAAAAAAGGTTGCTTATATGACACGAAGGTTACTGGATGAGAAAAAGCTAACTGAAAAGCATTGCACAGTAGCTTAGAACATAGATACTTTCCGACATGCTTGACATAGAATAGCTACGAATTAGTATTTGTAGTTTCTTCATTTCAGAGAGAAATCTCATAAAGGAATTTACCAACAATTTGGACGAGCTTCCTTAACTTAAAGAGTATAGAAGGACGGCGAAAAACCGTTGCACAAAAAGCGGCTCAATGTGCAAGTAGATTAAATATAGTAGAATGAATCTATGAAATTTGTTGATTTTGAATAGCAAACAAATTTGCTTTGGTTAGTGGATTGGGGATTGCATAATGGGGGACAAAAGATAATCAATTTTAAGTTAACCATTACATTACATGCATCAATATGATTAATAGAAAACTAATTGAACAGAGATCATGGAGTCATATATGTTCCTGATGTAATATGACTGAATCTCCCAATAAAATCATGATAAAAACTAAATAATCAAACTAGGGCATAATAATACGCCTATTGCCGTCAGCTAAATTTGGGGAAACATGAAACCAAATAGATGAAAAAAAGCTCCGAACCATTTCTCGATTTGTGCGTGTCATCCTTGCGCAGGGGCCATGCTAATCTTCTCTGTATCGTTCCAATTTTATCGGATGTCCCCGAACGGACGAACCGAGATGTTGAGCTCCGTAATATAACGGGGAAACATAGAAGCTCTTGGTCGGTGTGGGATTATCTAGTTTGAGGGCTCACAACCGGAAAGGGTTTTGTTTATTGTTTTGGGTCCTAAAGTTTCGAAAACCAAACTTTTCTCCCTATTTTAAGAACGTTTATTTCAACATCACCCCTTAAGTATTTCATTCACGTAATGAAGTTCCCTCTAAATTTCTGAAGATGTCAAAATTACCCTCCTTTTTCTACTATAATATCATAAAATTAGATTTTTGACCGTCTTTTAAAAGACTCAACACAAACAATTGGCTCATTCTTTATCATTATAACAAAGTTCGATTAAACTCGATTTGATGCTCAGATCTATATTATTCTAATCTCTTGACAATGTTATATCATGAGTTTTACCTTAGACTGGGGAAATACCTAGCTGTCAATCAGTTTTGTGTTTCTTCACTGTGCATAACATTTACTTGGTAATAAAATATACTCCCTCCGTTTCAATTTATGTGAACATATTTCTTTTTTAGTCCGTGCCAAAAAGAATGACATATTTTCCTATTTGGAAACAATTTACCTTTATACAATGATTTATAGCCACACAACATATATGTGCCTCATTTTACACCACAAGTTCAAAAGTCTTCTCTCTTTCTTAAACTCTGTGCCCAGTCAAATAAGTTCACATAAATTGAAACGGAGGGAGTATATAATTACCAAAAAAATATTGTATCATGACACTGTCTAAACTGCTCTAATTTATCAAACAGATCAACGGCTTATTATCGGTTTTAATATTTTTTATCTAAACTCAAAATTGCTAATTTATAAAATTCATTGTAACACTATACTTATCAAATACTTTTCATCAATTAATCCAATTGAACTCTAAAAGTAATTTTCAAGAAATATTTCGCAAAAAATAACTTTCGTTGTACCGAATACACCTTTTAACATATACTTTGATATGACCGAAGTCATTTTCCAACACATGTTTATGACAAATAGCCCGTGGTGAAATCCTCCTGCTAAACAATAAACTTCGAACGACTTCCTGAGAATCCCGATTGACTCATTCCTTTAATAAGGTATAGTAATGGTATAAAAATTTAATATCATTTTAATATTTTATTTGATTAGTAAATTTGGTATAAGTTATTTCGAGATTATAATTAGTATCGGGATAACTTATATTTTGTAGAGGGTGGAATAATTAGTGCCGGAATAACTTATATCTTCTTTTTAGAAATTATGCAATTGTTATTTTTAATACAAATACCAAACAATGGATAAAAAATAATATCAGAATAGATAATCATAATATAATTTATCCCAATATAACTTATTCTGACATAAGCCGTATTCAAACCAATAGACCGATGGAGTCTAATGCCAAAAAAGATGCAACCCAATTTCCTTGAGGATGTCAGAATTCAGATAAAGCTGATGCACGTGTGTCCTAATTTTATTTTTATTTTTTGACAATTAGATAAGAATAATATTTGGACAAGTACATAAAACTTCAACTTAAAATCTGTGTACTTTCAGGAAGATTTTTTCAATATTAAGCAACAAGGGAGGATATTAATATCAAAAGCTTGGCTTGCCTATTTCTAATGTTCTATGAATTAATCAAACTTTAATTAACATTTTGAAGCAGCGAAGCAATTAAAATTGAATACAAAATGGGACCACTCATTCGTCTGCATATTTTCAAAAAATATTTCCAATTACTAAATATGGATATAGTTGCTAAGAATGGACAAACATTAGCTAAAATCTTGAGAAGAGATCAATCTAACTATTTTAGGATGTCAGTGTTTATTTAATAACTATAAATTTATAACACTCAATACAAGTAATAATTTTTTTTTAAAATGAGCAATCATATTAAAAAAGAATTAAACAGAAAAAATAAGAAACTAAAATGACGACATTGACAAGAGTGGTACGTATTATAGATAGACCAATGTACTTCATAAGACATAGAGGGATCAAGGAAATATGGAAATAAATAAGAAAAATGACACTGTATAGTCACTCTCAAAATAATAGTCGAAAAATATATGGTTTTTGTATAATTTTGTATATATATATTTTATATGTTATATACAAAAATTATATAAATTCTATACACTTTTCGGCTATCAAATATAAATAGTTTCTAGCATGGGCTAAAAATGAAAAAAAGCCCAAATAAATAACCTAAACTGAATACTAGCAATTTTTAATAAATGGAGCAGATGCAACGTAGAATTCGAACTTCCTTTTCCACAGCCTTGACCACAACTTTTTATTTATTGATAAAGACTTTTTCTTTATTTCTGGATAAAGACTTGGCCTTTTATTGTTTTTTTTGTTTGTTTATCTGCAAGACTTGACTTCGGAAATTTATTGGTCAAAATATTTGTATTTTCCCGTAATTAGAAGCTAGATAGTAGACCGGCATAATTGGGAGCGAATGATACCAAAATAATGACCCAATAATAATTGAAATAAGTGCAAGTACAAGAACCTTGTAATCTGAAGTATTTCCTTCTTTTTTTTCCCTCTTTTTTTATTATTTCCTTTTTCCTTTTAGGTATACAAAAGAGTAGTGTAAAAATATATATTCATATTTAATGAAAAGACGATTATATTCTGTACGTTTTGAAGAGACATGATAGGTAAAAATTTACGCGTACCGGGTGTTTACATCTAATGTAATTAAGTTAACCATAAAACACAATATAACGTCTATTAGGAGTCTTATTTTAAATAAATAAAAATAAAATAAAAAAAGAAATTAAGTCATACTAACATAAGTTAAAAAGAATCAGGGTTGCCGTCAGTTCTTGATTTTTCTTTCTTTTATTCTTGTGTTCTTACGACGTTCTTTTATTTCCAATCTAATTCCAAAGTTCTGCTTCATCAAGAGGAGTACCTTTAATGGTACGAGAACTTTCATTATCTCCTTCACCAAAATTAAGTTGCCCGGTTTCAATGAACAACTTGAAATAAAAGAAAGATGTGTCAATTGAAGGTTTTACCTTCCGGCCTCCATTTAGACCCTGAAATTCAGAACTGCAAAATCATATTAACCTATTATGTTATGCAGATTATACTTTATGCTAAATTTTCGTCTTGTTAAACAGATCCATCATTAGTGGGGTAAAAACAGATCAATTTTGAAATAATATAACTGTGCAAAGCAAAGTTTAATTTTTTGTCGTTTGTTAATCTTTAGATGTGTTCCACCGAGAGTATGCTAAGTTAAATGCTTCTTTGTTTAGTTTAAAATGTTTAATATTTTTTTCAAAGTTAAAATATTTATTTAAATAATGATAGTTACCCTAGTAAGAAAAATTAAATTTTGTGTTAGTAGTGGCCAGTAATGGCACAGAAAGTGAACAAAAAATTAATGTCGTCATCCATTAACGTTACAGATCGGAGCTTGCAAGACTCTATGTATTTTTAACATTACTAGTTTCTGAACACGTGCGTTGCACGTGTTTCCCACTCAAGAGTGTTTTGATTATTTGGGTAAAAATGCAAAAAATGTCATGTCATTTTATTATCTTCCTTTCGTAGTTTTAAAAGCTTGATATTTTCTTCAAACCTTTCACATTTTCTTTCTGCTTTAGCCAATTTATTAAATTTTCATTGAGAAGGTTTTCTTAACTATGATCCTAGCTAAATCACAGAGGGGGTGTAAAGTATTAAAACTAATTATCCGATAAGTAAG